GGTGGGGGGCAGGAGGGCGTTTGTGGTGCAGGTGCTGCTGCGGCTGAGCCGGCCTGGGCCCAGTCCCTCAGCTTGTCACGCCCCTGGTCCATGTGTTTTTCCTCCCTCAGATCGAGTGCATGGTTGCGGCTGAAATTATGCAAAGATATAAAAAGCTACAATTTGAAAGAGGTAGGTGCGGGCGGACGAGCCAGTTCTGAGGCCTCTGCCTGCCCCCGGGTGACCAGCAAGGTCATCTAACCCCTTGCATTGACCCCGAGGAGGCCGAGGCTCACCCCAAGTTCCATCCCTAGTGGGTGGGGGACCCAGTCCCTCCCCCAGTGCCCTGCCCGCCCTCGCGGCTGGTTCCCGGCCGGCCCTGACACGGTGTGGAGCGGTGTGGAGGGTGCGTGTTTGAGACGACATCGCAAGTGTCACCACTTTATCGTTATCGGACGTGCACTTGCCACTGTGTCTACAGGGCCCATGGAGGCCCTTTGGCCTCGCTTCTGTGTTTCTTTAATATATTTCTGTTCATTTCAGAGAGGAAGGGAGAAAGAAACACCAATGATGAGAGAGAACCATGGATGGGCTGCCTCCTGCACACCCCCCACTGGGGATCGAGCCCACAACCCGGGCCTGGGCCCTGACCGGGAATCGAACAAACCGTGACCTCCTGGTTCCCAGGTCGATGCTCAAGCCCTGAGCCGGGCGGCGGGAGGACTATGTGTGTCGTGGCGCCTGGCGTTGGGATTTGGCGGGTGATAGTGTCAGTCCAAGGCCGTCTGGCCACAGGTCTGCGGGGGAGCTCCGAAGGGGGTGGCTCCGGTTTCCGAGACCCGCGGGCCCCTCGGAAAACGTTTCCCGGAGAGACCCTGGGCTGGGGGCGGTTGCCTGGGCTCGGAGGAGATGGACGGCCTGTGGCATCCGGCGAGTTTAACGAGGTGGCCGGGTCTGCGTCCCGCTGGCCACGCGAACCGTGAGGCTCCAGAGTGTGGGCTCAGTCAGAGGGGTTTTCTGTTTATTTTGCCTAAAAATAGGCCAGTTTGAGGTTAAAGACACACACACGCCTGTGGAACCTGTGACCGTAGACCAGGGGTCCTCACACTACGCCCGCGGGCCACATGCAAATACGAATATTGTATTTGTTCCCGTTTTGTTTTTTTACTTCAAAATAAGATATGTGCCATGTGCATAGGAATTTGTTCATAGTTTTTTTTTAAACTATAGTCCGGCCCTCCAACGGTCTGAGGGACAGTGAACTGGCCCCTGTTTAAAGAGTTTGAGGACCCCTGGTCTAGAGCCTTTTGCTCACGTGACGTCAAAGCCAAAACACCTGCACTCGGACGTCCTGGCGACAGCGCCCCTGCCGATGCCGCTCACAGGTCATGGTGTCCATGGTCAGACGAGCGGCAACCGTGGCCGCCAGGGGGCAGGTTTGGAGATACGACCTGAAAACACGGGACTTGTTCTGTTTCTTTGAATTGTGTTGTTGTAGTAAAAACCTGCAGGACTACAGCACATTCTCCACGTCGTGAAAATGTGAGGCCTGGCCTGGCCGGCCGGTATGGCTCAGGGGCTGAGCGCCGACCTGTGAACCAGGAGGTCCAGGTTCGATCCCCGGTCAGGGCACAGGCCCGGGTTGTGGGCTTGATCCCCAGTGTGGGGCATGCAGGAGGCAGCCGATCCATGGTTCTCTCTCATCATTGGTGTTTCTCCCGCTCCCTTCCTCTCTGGAGTCAATAAGAATATACTTATAAATAAAATAACGTGCGTGAGGCCTGGGTCTGGACCCGAGGCCCTGTCCGCAGCGCCTGACCTGTCCCTCATGTCCCTGTGCCAGAGGTGCTGCTGGACCCCTGTCGGACCTGGTGCCCGGTGTCCACCTGCCAGGCCGTGTGCCAGCTCCCGGAGATGGGGCTGCCAACACCCCAGCCGGTGCAGTGCAAGGCCTGCGCCACGGAATTCTGCTCCGCCTGCAAGGCCAGCTGGCACCCGGGCCAGGGCTGCCCGGAGACCATGCCCATCACCTTCCTTCCCGGGGACACCAGGTAGGCTCCCGCCGGGAGGCAGGGCTGCGGGGGGTGAGGAGGGCTTCCTCACCAAGCCTGGCTCACGTCCGCCTTTGTTCAGCTTCCCAGCAGCCAGGGTGGGGCCGGTGAGCCAGCCCCCGTGTCGGCTGGGAGATGGCTGGCTGATTACGGCATCGCCGTGTCGTGTTGGTTCGTCTGCTGTGTGGCTGGTTCCTCTTGCTGCCTTGGTTGGACTCTCCCCCAGATCCTGGCCTACAGCGGGCACCGCTTTCTAGGGAGGCGCCACCCTGGTTTGCCACAGTCCCCGCCACGCCCTCCTGCCTCCCTGCCCCTGACACTGGCGGCCAGGTGTCTTTTATGACTCAGCGTCCACTCGGCTGTTTTCAAAACGAGATCTCCCCGCCACCCCCGTCCCAAGCAGCGCCGGCCAGCGTTGCTCACGGACCTGACGCCTGAGCCTTAAAGGCGTGAGGACGTGTGGACGGGGGGACGCTGTCAGGCTCCGGCTGCCTCCCTAGCAGGACTGTGCGGAGGGGACAGTGTCACGTGTGGTTCAGGGGCCGGGAAGGCCGGGAGCCGTTGCAGCAGGTAGATTCCTGCGCAGGCCCCGCGCTCCGGGACTCCCTGTTTTAACCGTTTCTGTTGGAACGTCTCCTGGGGACGCTCTCCGGGGTGCGGGCCCTGGTCGGGCATTCCTTCAGAACGGCTTCGAGTCCCACGAGAAAATCCGTCCCCTGCCCCAAGGTGGCTCCTGCGAGAGCCACGTGACCGGACCTGGGAGTCGCCTCGCTCACTGGCTTGGCGCCCGGGGACCGTGTCTGCAGCCCTCGGCTTCACGGGGCGGCCCCCGCAAGCGTGTGCAGAGCCGGCCCGGCCCAGGTCCACCGGCTCCCACGTGCCCTACAGCCGCCTCTGACACAAGAGCGGACGATGGACGGCCTTCTGTCCTCACACCTGAACATCTGCGTTACTTTTTTATTAAATATGTTTGTATTGATTTTTAGAGAAAGAGGAAGGGAGAGTGATAGAGAGAGAGAAACATTGATGAGAGACAAACATCATGGATCGGCCACCTCCCGCACACCCCGCACTGGGGATGGAGCCCACCACCCGGGCCTGTGCCATGACCGGGGATCGAACCGTGACCTCCTGGTTCATAGGTCGATGCTCAGCCCCTGAGCCACCCCGGCCGGGCTCTGTGTTACCTTTTCATCAGCAGCGGAGACGTGGCTGCCACTAACC